GAGAGCGAGAGAGAGAGAGAGAGAGAGAGCGAGAGAGAGACAGAGAGAGAAAGAGAGAGAGGCAGAGAGAGAGAGAGAGAGATAGAGAGAGAGAGACAGAGAGAGAACGAGAGAGAGGCAGAGAGAGAGATAGAGAGAAAGAGAGAGAGGGAGCGAGAGAGAGAGAGAGAGAGAGCGAGAGAGAGAGAGAGAGAGATATATATATATGCACGCACTTAATATATGTATGTATTCATTTAAATATGCATACATATGTATATGTAAATATATACATGTATAAATGTATGCTGGTAGAAAGTGATGGGGATGCGTCCGGTACTCTGAACCACCGTTTTTCCTTGATGTGCTCATTTGTCAATCCTTCTTCTCCCTTCGCTACATTGCCTCTATGACGCATACATCTAGATTCAGAAGGAAATGGGGATGGTTGCTGTTAATCCCTAGCGCACACAGATGAATATCACTGGCTACGTTAGAGAATTTCATGACTATGTGGCCAAGGGGCGACTTGAAAAACTGTAAGTCCAAGTCCTTGCTCTGCGTGAACTTGCCGTCTTTATGTTTTGTTCTCGCACGGTGCAAAAGTCTCAGAGTGGCAATCAAGCACCTGCGCAGTGTGGACAGTTTGTAGCGACGCACGGATCGGAATGCTGCCCTTGCATCTCCAATCCTGCCAATAACCTGCGGCCTATTGCAAACTCAGATGCGCAGTACAGTCAAACCAACGGTGAGCCACGTGCAGCATGTGGCGCTTGAACAAACACAGAACGTATACGCGTGTATTTTTAAGCTCGTTTGCAGCCTATGATGTTGTGTGTGTGAGCTAAGCCTAAGAGGCGCTCCGTGTGATCAGAGAAGACCCTGCAATACTCAAAATTTGAACTTCGAGGATGCAGCTGCCTTGGCAGCGCTGTTCGGGACTTACAACTGTTGTGACTCTACTGGCATTTCAATCAGAATAATAGGAACGATCAAAAGGCTGAACGGTAGAAAACGTTATTGGAGTTGTTTTCTGTGTACATATTCATCTATTTTTTCTTTGCTATGGTATATGTATGATATGTGCTTTGTAAGATATCAGGGAAATTTGAAACCAATTTGGTTTATCTCTTGACCAGTCAGGTCGCCAGAAGTCACGTGTGTGACAATCAAGGGACAAAAAGCTTTTGTATGGTCCTTGGACTGTGTTGTTTCATGAGCCATCTGTGGCAGGGACCGGCAAGTGGAAGTCCAGTCTTTCGGAAGCAAAAACTAGGGGGAGTGCCTTTGTTCTTGTCCTTTGCACCTTCCTAAGAAAACAGGCAGATTCAAGGTGCTGATACTTGAGCAACCTTCGTGGTATTGGCTTTATCAGATATTGGACCTTGGACTCCAATTCCTGAAATGTTGTTGCCCGAATGGTTTTTGCTTCGCGCTCATGATTTTGTTTGTAGATGTTTGTAGATGTTTGTAGATGTAGCCCTGAGGTGGTAGAATTGAGCGAAGCTGCTGGGCGCTCAGTATGGAGCAGGGAGACTTTCAGGATCGAGCTACAGGCCGAGGCGGGAGACAGAGGGAGACGAGAAAAAGAACGGTGGATTTAGGTTTTCAAAGCAATGCCACAAGTTCTTCAAATGCACCCGTTTGATTCCCAGAATGTTGTTCGAAGCTTGTGGATTTGGACTTCAAAGCCTTTGTTTGAAGTCGTTCAAGTCGTTGAAGTTAGGCCAGAGAATGCCAAGCCAAGGTTGGCTGCCCATGTGACTAGCGCGCCTTCACTGGTTGAAAGCTCTCTTGCACTTGAAACTGGCCAAGCTGGCCAAGCATGTGCTCAAGGCCTTGTGGTGCCACAGTTGCCAGCGATTTCTCAGAGCGACCCAGCTCTTAGGCATCTTGTGACTCGGAATGCACCTCCGACACAGGGCACTTTGCTTGACAGACACGATGCCAGCCGAGAGCGCTCAAGAACACCAGAGAAAGTGAAGTTTGCTGTTGTGCCGCAATATATTTGCCATTGATCTAAAATCTTGACAACGCAAAACCAAAGATATTGTTTTCCCACGCAGCATGCAGCCACATGACCTGCATTTCATGTGCTCAAAACAGCCCAAAACAGCCTACTGGACGAACATCCAAAGCTGGTGTTCTGCATGAGAAGGGCTTCCAAACTCTGACGATGGGTCATGTTTGATGAACTATGCAAGATAACGCAAGAGAATTTAAGGGAATGCAAGATAATATAACGCATTGTGATGCGAGATAATGCACGACAAAGCAACAAAATGCAGGATACTGCAAGATAATGCAAGACGGGGCAAAGTTTTTTTCGCAGAATTGAAATCCGATTCCAAGGCTGACACATGAAGGCTGCGGGGCTTGCATTGATTTTAGCTTTTGCAGCTGGAGGCATTTTTGGAACTGAAGCAGGGACATGGAGGCTTCAGCGAGTCGTGAATTTTGTTTGGCGCAATCTGGGAGTTGATATACGCTTGCAGCGCGCATACCAGCATCCATTTTCTGGGTACGGGCTATACAACTTTTCCACAGAAAGCTGGCCAAGTATTGAAAGGCGACCTTTGTCTTCCTTGACTTCCGATGAATTCAAGGAAAGATATGTGAAAGGGCGCAGACCTGTGATTTTGACCGACATCAAACCACAGCTTCAGTGGACTCCGAAGAACCTTTCTCTTCGATGCGGAACAATGCCAGTCTCTTTTGATCGTCGCTATTCTGCCGGATTGAGAGCCATTCCTTCATGGATGAGGAAGTTGTTTTTGGACTCCAGAACATTGCTCACATATAACCACACGACTGAACATGTCCTGGAGGCGATGCATGCATCCACGACTTTGGAAGAGTATGTGAGCAGATTGGACAAGGATCAAAACTCGATTTCCCTTGCAAAGAAAGTCACAGATGGCCGTTTATACTCTGGAAATATTGCTGACTACATTTTCCCAGTTATGCTTAGTGCGCAACACATAGAACGCGGTCACTGTGATGACTTGATAAGTGAAGGCAAGGCTGTTTTGCGAAGGTTGATCGAATTTGATACTTGGACTGGATGTTGATGTTGATTTTTTGCCATCCAAACCACCATATTGCCATGTATTGCCCACCATGCCAACTTTTCTATGGTTATTCCTCCTTGGCCTAGATGTGCAACAGAAGATAGGGAAATCTTATTTTGTGCATCTTGGCTTTTGATAAATAAAGAGTTTTCAATACCTTACCTTCCCTAGTTTTGGGTGTTTGTTTTTTTGTGGGAACAACTTAAGCAAAACTTGTTCCTGGTGTCCTCCGCGTCCTCCGACTTCTGTACATGATTGGACGTATTATGGAGCTGGATGCGAGGCAGCTGCGGGGCGCCACGACCCTCCAAAGTTCGGAGCAATGAATCCAGCAGCGCAGCAGCATCTGAATCTAAAGTTAATGGGGAGCTTTTTTCTTAAGGGAATTATACCAGTAGTACCCGCACGAGGTGGGGTGGAAGTTGCCTCAGGGATATATTATAAGACCTTTCTCATCTATAGAACTTGCATGCGCCGTGCGCCAGCCAGGCCCGTGCGTGCGTGCTTTGTGCGAAGCTGTTGCAGTGTTGTTGTCCAAGAACATGACCTGCGAGCGACCCCGGTGCAATGCAACGCCTAGCGAAGACTTTCTTCACACTTCACACTGTACTCTTCACACCCCGCACTTCACACTTCACACTTGCACTTCACACTCCACACTTCATCTCATCTCAAATCATGTTAGCTCTTCTCACCTCACTTCTCATCTCATCCCATCTCTTCTCACATGTCATCCAAGTAAGTTCTTCTCTCTCGACTCATCTCAGCTGTTCTGCACACCAGAAATCTCTTGCTGTCAGAGACAAGTCTTTTGCACAAAAAATCGATTGGGCGCAGAAACTTTTGCGCACAGAAGCTTGAGACACAGATGCATTTACACTTTACACAGACAAGCCTTTACAAAATACTTTGTACTACAAAAAAGCTTGCACAAAGCACTTCCCAGTACTACTTTGTACTACCAACCTTGCACAAAGCACTTCCCAGTACTACTTTGTACTACGAAGCTTGCACAAAGCACTTCCCAGTACTACTTTGTACTACAAAGCTTGCGCAAAGCACGTCCCAGTACTACTTTGTACAACAAAGCTTGCACAAGGCACTTCCCAGTAAAATTTTGTACTACAAAACTTGCACAAAGCACTTCCCAGTACTACTTTGTACTACAAAGCTTGCACAAAAGCACGTCCCAGTACTACTTTGTACTACAAAGCTTAAAAAAAGTACTTCGCAGTACTACTTTGTACTACAAAGCTTGCACAAAGCACTTCCCAGTACTACTTTGTATTACAAAGCTTGCACAAAGCACTTCCCAGTACTACTTTCTACTACAAAGCTTGCACAAGGCACTTCCCAGTACTACTTTGTACCACAAAGCTTGCACGCTTTGTACTACAAAGCTTGCACGCAGCTCTTCCCAGTACTACTTTGTACTACAAAGCTTGCACAAAGCACTTCGTAGTACTACTTTGTACTACAAAGCTTGCACAAGGCACTTCCCAGTACTACTTTGTACTACAAAGCTTGCACAAAGCACGTCCCAGTACTCCTTTGTACTGCAAACTTTGCACAAACTACTTCCCAGTACTACTGTTTACTACAAAGCTTGCAAATAGCACTTCGCAGTATTACTTTGCACTACAAAGCTTGCACACAGCTCTACAGCTCTTCCCAGTACTACTTTGTACCACAAAGCTTGCACAAAGCACGTCCCAGTACTACTTTGTACTACAAAGCTTGCACAAAGCACTTCCCAGTACTACTTTGTACTACAAAGCTCGCACAAAGCACTGCCCAGTACTACTTTGTACTACAAAGCTTGCACAAGGCACTTCCCAATACTACTTTGTACCACAAAGCTTGCACGCTTTGTGCTACAAAGCTTGCACACAGCTCTTCCAAGTACTTCTTTGTACTACAAAGCTTGCACAAAGCACGTCCCAGTACTACTTTGTACTACAAGACTTGCACAAAGCACTTCCCAGTATTACTTTGTACCACAAAGCTTGCACAAAGCACGTCCCAGTACTCCTTTGTACTGCAAAGCTTGCACAAACTACTTCCCAGTACTACTGTTTACTACAAAGGTTGCAAAAAGCACTTCGCAGTATTACTTTGTACTACAAAGCTTGCACACAGCTCTACAGCTCTTCCCAGTACTACTTTGTACTACAAAGCTTGCACAAAGCACTTCCAAGTACCACAAAAAAACTTCCCAGTATTACTTTGTACCACAAAGCTTGCACAAAGCATGTCCCAGTACTATTTTGTACTGCAAAGCTTGCGCCAACTACTTCCCAGTACTTCTGTGCACTACAAAGCTTGCAAAAAGTACTTCCCAATACTACTTTGTACTCCAAGGCTTGCACAAAGTCTTTCCCAGTACTACTTTGTACAACAAAGCTTGCACAAACTACTTCCCAGTACTACTGAAGTTACTACTGTTTACTACAAAGCTTGCAAAAAGTTTGTCGAAGTACTACTTTGTACTACAAAGCTTGCACAAAGCACTTCCCAGTACTACTTTGTACTACAAAGCTTGCACAAGGCACTTGCCAGTACTACTTTGTACCACAAAGCTTGCACAAAGCACGTCCCAGTACTACTTTGTACAACAAAGCTTGCACAAACTTCTTCCCAGTACTACTGAAGTTACTACTGTTTACTACAAAGCTTGCAAAAAGTTTGTCGAAGTACTACTTTGTACTACAAAGCTTGCACAAGGCACTTGGCAGTACTACTTTGTACCACAAAGCTTGCACAAAGCACGTCCCAGTACTACTTTGTACTGCAAAGCTTGCGCAAACTACTTCCCAGTACTACTGTGTACTACAAAGCTTGCACAAAAAACTTCCCAGTACTACTTTGTACCAAAAGCTTGCACACAGCTCTACATTTCTTCCCAGTATATACTACTTTGTACGACAAACATCCCAGTACTGCTTTGTACTACAAAGCCTGCACAAAGCACGTCCCAGTACTACTTTGTACTACAAAGCTTGCACAAAGCACTTCCCAGTACTACTTTGTACTACAAAGCTTGGGCAAAGTACTCCCCAGTACTACTTTTGTACTACAAAGCTTGCACAAAGAAAGCTTTTACACACAGCAAGTTCTTTCGCAGAGAAGCTTTTACACACAGCAAGCTTTTTAAACAGAGAAGGTTTTACACAGAGAAGCTTTTACACACAACAAGCTTTTACACACAACAAGCCTTTACACAGAGAAGCTTTTACACACAGCAAGCTTTTACACACAGCAAGCGTTTACACACAGAACACTTTTACACACAGTTCTTTTACACATGGCAAGTGTTTACACACTCAGAAGCTTTTGCACAGAGAAGCTTTTACACTCAGAGAAGCTTTTACATACAGCAAGCTTTTACACACAAAATCTTTTACACGCAGCAAGTTTTTACAGAAAAAAGTTTTTACACAGAGAAGCTTTCTTGTATACAATGACAATAGGAATTGCAGCTCCAAAACCGGATGGATCTTGGCGCCAAAGCAAAAAAACGCGATTTTGAAGCATTTTTTAAAAGGAATTTTACAAGGAAAATCACCAGCGCCAAAATGGAAAAATCTGCTGACAAATCACTTCGCAACCTTGACGCAGCCACTACAATGCGGTCTGCAAACACTGAATTGCGAAACACAATAGAACTACGCGCAACGGCGTCGGAAATTGCAGCTCCAAAACCGGATCTCGACGCCAAAGCGAAAAAAAGACGATTTTGAAGCACTTTAAAAAAAATAATTTTACAAGGAAAAAACACGAGCGCCAAATTGAGAAAATCTGCTGACAAATCGCTGTCGCAGCCTTGATGCAGCCACTCCAATTACTATTTACGAGATCCAGCTGCAAAAGACAATAGTATTACTAATGCAGCCGCGGCACCAAGCAGCCTTGACGCAGCCACTACAATGCGATCTGCAAACACTGAATTGCGAATCGCAATAGAACTACGTGCAACGGCGTCGGAAATTGCGCTCCAAAACCGGATCTCGACGCCAAAAGCGAAAAAAAGACAATTTTGAAGCACTTTTTAAAAGGAATTTTAGAAGGAAAATTGCCAGCGCCAAAATTGAGAAGCCCTGCTGACAAATCACCTGCAGCCTTGATGCAGCCACTCCAAAACGATTTATGATAACCAGCTGCAAAAGACAACAGTATTGCGCATGCAGCCGCGGCGCCAAGCAACCTTGACGCAGCCATTACAATGCGTTTTGCAGCATCACGTCGCAAACCTGCACGTATCTACGCACATGGCAACACCAGATGACAACAATCATGCGGCCATTCCAATGCGATCTGCAACCAGAGATTCAAGAAACGCATAGAACTACGCACACAGGAACAACCACTCGCTGCAGAACACAGAAGAGGAACCAATTCGCGCATGAAACGACCGCAGCCGCAACCGCCGCACACACGAGGTATCTTTCATCGCCGGCCGCAGCCACTTCACACGGAAAAACACAAGGTTTCGTGCTCTGGCTTCATCCCCAAAACAAAGCCCATGCTACATTCATGCAGCCATCACAATGCGCTTCGCACCTGCCACGTTTCCACGTGAAACGAAGGTGGATTAAGGTTGTGCCACGCCTGCCACGCAAAGTGCCGCGGCGTCCCGGGCGTCACGGGCGACCAAGCCAGTCCAAGCGCGCCACCCAGTGCCATGAGTGCCCGCCTGCCACGTGAAACGATGGTGGATGTGAGATTGTGCCACGCCTGCCACGTGAAACGAAGGTGGATGTGAGGTTGTGCCACGCCTGCCACGCAAAGTGCCGCGGCGTCCCGGGCGTCACGGGCGACCAAGCCAGTCCAAGCACGCCACCCAGTGCCATGAGTGCCACGCCTGCCACGCGAAACGATGGTGGATGTGAGATTGTGTGTGTGTGTGTGAGTGTGTGTGTGTGAAGTCATTGTATGTTAAATTTGTGTGTGTGAAGTTATTGTATGTGAGGGCGACCAAGCCAGTCCACGCGCGCCACCCAGTGCCATGAGTGCCACGCCTGCCACGCGAAACGATGGTGGATATGAGATTGTGCCACGCCTGCCACGTGAAACGAAGGTGGATTAAGGTTGTGCCACGCCTGCCACGCAAAGTGCCGCGGCGTCCCGGGCGTCACGGGCGACCAAGCCAGTCCAAGCGCGCCACCCAGTGCCATGAGTGCCACGCCTGCCACGCGAAACGATGGTGGATGTGAGATTGTGTGTGTGTGTGTGAGTGTGTGTGAAGTTATTGTATGTGAGAGATTGGTATGTGACAAAGTTGTGTGCGTGAGTGTGTGTGAAGGTATTGTATGTGAAGTTATAGTATGTGACAGATGGTATGTGACAAAGTTGTGTGTGTGTGTGTGAAACGTCTGTATAGACGTAAAACTTCCATGGCATTGTTGAATCTGGTTTTTTGGTATTATTTCAGTTTTCAAACAAGCAGGGGGATGGAGTGTGCTTCAGATGTCTCCATCCAACGAAGACGCATCTGTTGCACAGTGATATGGATTGGGGACGCTCAATCCACGTACCTGCATCTTTTTTCAGGAATGGGAAGAGGCTCAACCCAAGAACCTCCTTGCCGTCTAATTGTCAATGCTGATTCTCTGCACTGTTGTCGCAATCTGGCATTATTTTATTTTATTTTGGACTTCACTGCATCAGAACCTTCCTCAGAGCAAGGACGTAGAAAGTTTACTTCGCACTGAAATTCACGTTGGATCAACCAATTTTCCTGGCAGTTTTTTAAGGGATTGTTTTGTGCACGTGTGATGCACTCCACAACAACATTCGCAATGTTGTTTCTGAGCAAGTGTGTGTGAGTGTGTGTGAAGTTATTGTATGTTAAATTTGTGTGTTGTGTGTGTGTGAGGGTGTGTGAGTGTGTGGAGGCGGGAGGCGGGAGGAGGAGGAGGCGGAGGAGACCCGGGATACAGAATCAAAAACAAGAACCCCACACAAAGTTGTGGGGAAATAAACCCCCAAACAATTCCGAACAATTCTGTCCCCCTAAATCCAAAGGACTGACACCCGAACACCTTGGCCATCCTTGCCATCCTTCGGTTCTTCCCGCTCTTCCCGTTGAAGAAAGTCTTTCTATTGGATTTGCGTATCCAGCTTGGTCATGCCAGTGCCATTGAACATCAGTCCAGATTAGTCAACAAAAACGATGCTCCGATTCGACAGATCTTGTGGAGCCTAGGTCCTGTTTGTTGCTCCTGCTGGATCAAGAGCCATTCCACTGCATCAACATGGTCCATTCAATGACAATTTGTTTCTTGGCAGGGTGGCATGGGACAGTGCAAAAATACAATAGTTTTTGTATACGTGTATGTGTATATGAGCAATAATTTATAGATGAAAATAATATAGTAGGTAGATAGGATAGGATAGGATAGTCCGATTTTTTGACTGGCAGCATCCTGTCTTCAAGGGCCCTGAAGTGAAGTCATCCAAAGCAGGTGTAATAGCCACGATGCTATCATATTAGTAGTAGTACTAGTGATGGTGGTGGTGGTGGTAATGGTACGTAGTACGGGAAGGAGTAGGAGTAGGAGTGGTTGTAGAGCTTTGGCTTGTGAATCACAATCGCCCATGATGCTGACTCAAATTGTCATCTCCAAAATCCTGATGTAGATATTGGTATACCCAGCATGAGTGCCCAAACGTAAGAAAACATGTTGCGAATGTCCCTGAAGAAGCAGTGAAAGAAGGACATCATTGCTCAATCGCAAAGATGTCATAAGAGAAATGTTCCCCATCCAAAAAATCAAATTGCGAAGATTCTGCAAAGACCGTTCAGAATACAAAATGAGGAGGTACGTGGAGCTGATCAGGCTCTGTATCCCATGCCATCAGGTAGCTTCGTTCGCTGTGGCCCTTGATCTTCTCCCACGTCCCCCCGCACCTAGGGGAAACAAATCTTGTCCGGGTGACAAAGCCGGGCAGAAACTGGCAGAAATGATACATGCATGCATGCATGCATCCATACATACATACATACATACATGCATGCATGCATCCATACATACATACATGCATGCATGCATCCATCCATCCATCCATACATACATACATACATGTATACATGCATGCATACATACATGCATACATGCATGCATGCATGCATCCATACATACATACATGCATGCATGCATGCATCCATACATACATACATACATGTATGCATGCATGCATACATACATGCATACATGCATGCATGCGCCCATACATACATACATACATACATACATAATCATACTTAATCATACATAATCATACATAATCATACATAAACATACATAATCATACACATACATACATACATGCATGCATGCATCCATACATACATACATGCATGCATGCATCCATACATACATACATACATACATACATACATGTATGCATGCATACATACATGCATACATGCATGCATGCACCCATACATACATACATACATACATACATACATACATACATACACACATACATACATACATACATACATACATATATACATATATAATCATACATAATCATACATAATCATACATAAACATACATACATACACATACATACATACATACATACGTACGTACGTACGTACATACATACATAATCATACATAATCATACATAATCATACATAAACATATATAATCATACAAAACCATACACATACACATACATACATACAGACAGACAGACATACATACATATACATAACCATACATACATATACATAACAATACACAATCATACATAATCATACATAAACATACAAAATCATACATAATCATACATAAGCATACCCAATCATACATAATCATACAAAATCATACACATACATACAAACATGCATGCATACATACTTACATATACATATACATATACATATACATACATAATCATACATATACATACAAAACCTCACATAATCATACAAAAACATACATACCCACACATAATCACACATAATCATACAAAATCATACAGAATCATACATAAGCATACATAATCATACATAATCATACATAAACATACAAAATCATTAATAATCATACATATACATACATACATATAGTTACATAACCATACATAATCACAGATAATCTTACATAATCATACATAATCATACATAATCATACATAAGCATACAAAATCATACATAATCATACATAAGCATACAAAATCATACATAATCATACAAAATCACGCACACACTTACATACATACATACATACATACATACATATATAAATATATACATATACATATACATATACATATACATACATACATACATACATATATATATACATATACATATACATATACATATACATACATATACATACATATACATATACATATATATATATATACATATACATAATCATACATAATCATAGAAAATCATGCATACATACATAGATACATAGATAGATAGATAGATACATAGATACATAGATACATAGATACATAGATACACAGGCACATAGATACATAGATACATAGATACATAGAAACATAGATACATAGATACATAGATACGTAGATACATACATACATACGTGCGTATGTACGTACATACATACGTACATACATACATACATACATACAGTACATACAGTATATATCTTGTCAGATTGCACACACATACACACACACACATACACATTTGACCACTTTGATGCACTGATGCACTCTGCAAAGAGATTGACAGACCGTGGTATGCATTCTTTGCTTTCTTCCTTTCTCCTTTCTCCTTTGCAAGATGTAGAAATCAAATTGACATCTGATGGAGGCGCAAACTGAGGCTTTGGATGCTTCACGGCTCCAAAAAGATTGTGACTGTTTCTCCTTCTTCAACAGAGTGGCTCTACGAGAGGCCTGAATTTGGAGGTGGCTGTGCACAATTTGTCGCGTTGTCTATTGCGCTGTGTATCCCCTTTCTCGTTGGCATTTCGGCATTTCGGCATTTTGTACATGTAAAAACCTGTAAAGTGCTACCGCCGTTCAAAGCAAGTTCAAGGCAGCGAGTATGCAGACCGAGTCTTCTCTGCTGACGTTCTGGAGCCTGATGCAAGCACCTAGAGTACAGTTGGCTGAAAACCGATTTACATTTCACCGTGTAATGGAAGGAAATTTGAAGCTGAAATGGGGGCTTTGACACTCCAGTGAATGTATTTGCATTTATCTGCTTATTTTTTCATGCCATGGAAGGTGTTCAACCAGATGTCCGGCATGTTCGTGGCATGGAAGGAATCATTTCTGCGGGTGAGCTGATCTATCTTCCTGCTGCTTGGAGTCAACCTGATATGTGAAGTGTTGGTCAGCTAGAGGAGGCCGTGTTAGCTTGGTCTACTGTGAGTCTTAGTTTTTTTTTAAAATGTTTTTTTCTGCATTGTTAGATATTGTTAGTTTTCCCATCTATTGTTGGAATAGCATGGAACAACTGTGTGAATCCTCATTCCTAGTGTAAAACCACAGCACTCAGCTGAAGTGCTTTGCCATTGGGGATGCTGAGTGCAGTTGCATACAGTTGCCACAGTTGAACCGAGTTTCGTCACAGGTCAATGTCCCGCATGCTATTCAGACACAGGATGGGACAAGCGCTCTATTCTTAGCAGCTTAGCATTGCTTTCTCACTGCTTTCAGCTTTCTTGATTTTCAATTGCAATTCTTGCCATGCTTGCCATGCTTGCCCTTATTTCTGAATTCGTCTCAGGTGATGCTTGCCTGGCAAATGCCAGTTCCTGGAATAGCGCGACTATTCTGGATGAAGCAGCTTGCAATCAAGTGATGCCACAAGATCCACAAGGTATCTCAAGTTTTATAAAATAACTATAATTTTGTCACCGGAATTTCAATTGGCTATGTGACTTTGCAGATCTTTGGGACTGGACTTGGTTTGGCCATTTTTGGCCTCCGGCTGTATCGTCGCCGTGCACTAAGGACATGCTCTTTCTTGGAGGAGTTGTCTGATTTCCCACCATGGGCTGAGAAATGCGCAATCTTGAAGAAACTGATGAGCGAGAACCAAGAAGCTTCAGATTGAACAGGGAAAAAACAATAGGTGAGTGCGCAAGGCGAGAACTGAATGTGCACAGTGTGCTTGTGCTTCCGTATGCTTAGTGTGCTTGGGATGGTCCTGTGGTGCTTTCTGTGCGACTCTTGACATTCCGGACACAGTTGCAGGCTCTGTTTTTGCTTCATTTTGGCTCAGAACAGCTGTCAAAAACAGGCGATTTTTATGGCTAATCGATTTAGACAAAGAAACAAATTGATACCCTGAAGCAGGACCTGATGGGAACCCTTCTTCACGAATCATTTTCCCATCTGGGACTGGTACCTGCAAATACACCCAGTCGCATACATCTGAGTCCAGTTTAAATGTCATATCAAAATATGTTAAAGGGTAATTTCCAAAATGTAAGTTTCTTCGTAGGCACCTTAAATGCTGACATCATTCTTCGATGCCCTTTGACTCTGTCACTTTAAATCGACAAAAGGAACATCTCCTCAGGCCATGTCGGCCTCATTGCAAACATCAAATGAGACGACAGACATTTGTGGAGCACAGTGACTTAGCCAACTTAGTTGAGCTCAGTGGCACCATGCGGCAGGTTCTTCTTGCTCAAGAAGTGAAATTTCCATGCGAACTCCGTGAGATTCTGAGGTGGCTCCTTCTTTGGACAACTGCTGCATACTCTCCAGAAGTGCCGAATAGAGATGAAAAGGACCGACTCACCACGACGTACTGAGTGGCGGAGGCACAAGCAGAAAGCTATGCCTCAGCTGCAGCACTAAGACGGTGGAAAAAAGAAGTCATTGACAGACGAAAAGAATGAAACGGAAGTGTGCGCAAAAAGGGAAAATAAGATGGAGACAAGAAAAACACGATGAATATTTGGAAGAGCAAGGGTCACAACAAAAAGGCTGCATGGCAGGCCAAAAAGATTTTGTCAAAAAAAAAAGAGGAACACATTGAGCTTCAGGATATAGCAGTGCAGCCTTGTAGGCAAAGCGTCAACATTGAAGCAATACACGTGAACAGTTCTTGTTGTTTGCAGGAGGCGTTAGAGACCTTCTTCCACAAATTCCAGGACAAAAAAGACCAGAAGAGACCAAAAGGGCTTGGATTGGAGGCAGTACATTTCAGTACTTCACGCTAGAGTGTTGACGTTACGAAGATCAGTGTTTGTGTTCCGTCCCACTGTGAATCTGTTTTGTCAAAGTGTCCCGAGCTTTGGTTTGTATCTTTGAGGTAGTTGACAGCATGTTCCCTGACTGTTGCTTTGTTGATTTTTCTTGGCACGATTCTGTTCAACAGCCAAGCATTGAACATTTTCGCGAACGCACTGGAATGTTCTCCAAGCCAGGGAAGATGCGACAACTACCGTGCAATTTGTAGAAACGCGAACCCAATTTGGCATGTGCGCCTGCATCAATTTGACAACTTGACAACACATTCACAATAGATAGTCCTTTGTATGAAAGCTAGCTTTCGCTAACTACTAGCTGTGCTAGCTGTGCTAGCTGTGCTAGCTGTGCTAGCTGTAAGAACTGCAAGCAAGGCAAGGTGGCTTTATCAGCACAAGGGTACTACCATAGATACCCCCCAAGACTCCTGGACTGGTGGGCTTGACTCGGTGGACTTCGCTAGAAGCACACATCGATTCCGTCAATTCCCCAATGTTTTGGACAGTTTTGGAGCAGTTTGCTTAAGGATCACCCTGAACTTTGTGCAGTGTAGGGTACATTTATATACATATTATATATATATCAAAATGTTGTCATTGCATAGTTGCATATAGTCATATCGTTGTTTAATTTGATGTGACTTCTTCACTATACTGTCAGAACTGTTCGGATGGCCTTTCCTTGGCTGCACTCGCCGTGGCTCAGAGATAAGTTGAAATCAAACAGCATTCCGCAGAAACCTTCCGCAGAGACCTTCTTTGAATGTCCATTGCCTGCTCTGCATTTGTGACAAGATGGACAGGTGTTTGATTTTTCTCCACCTGTCAGGTGAGGGTTGTTAGATTTTATGTCAGCTGTCCCGCCTCCTCATCTTCCTCCTTCCTCCGCCGGACCTCAACTGCAAGCTCAGGATCAGAGTGTTCCCCGCTGGATCCCGACTGCAAGCTCCGGATCAAAGTGTTCCCCGCCGGAGCTCAACCACAAATCTCCGAAGATATACCAGATAGAATGCCAGAATAGAATGTCAGAATAGAATGACAGACAGAATGCCAGATAACATTGCCAGAACGTATGCCAGAACATATGGCAGAAAAATGCCAGATAGAATGCCAGAGAAAATGCCAGTATAGTATAGATGCCACAAAGGATGCCAGATAGGATGCCAGAAAAGATGCCAGATAGAATGCCAGAATAGAATGTCAGATAGACTCTCAGATAGACTGCCAGAATAGAATGCCAGAAGATTACACCATATATATATATATAATATATATATATATTTTCCAGATGATATGTCAGAAAAAATGACAATTAAGTGTCAGGGTGGAGGTCAATTAATTGCGGCTGGATATGGCTGGATTTTTTCCCCTACATGTCCGGAGCTTCCAAGTCCAGGTTTTATATTAATGCTCCTTGCGCATTGAAAGCCAACAGCCCTGGTCACGAAAGTTCGCTTCATTGTAGTGGCTCTTCCTTTACACAGGGAAAAAGGCTGGACAGCTTGCCGCACTCACCGAACCTCTGCTAGCTTGCGTTCCTTCTTCTTGGCGGTGCTACTGTATCAAGTGTGTGAATTCTCTCAACAATTTTTCAGGAAAGGTAATGTATGCTTTCACTCGTTCAGTGCATCTTGTGTCGGGGAGGATGTAGGGGGACGGTCAAACTACCGCTGGTATTTGCGAGAAAACATGAAAAATTGTAGGATCTCTGTCGTGATGGACCATATGTGCTTTGCTTAGCATGTTCTGCCTTCAAGCCACCGGCCTTGTCATATGTCCTTGTGCTAGAGTCTTGTTGTATGCTCACACGACTGCTAAAACACTTACTCAGCAATTTCACTCTTGTGTGCCATTTTGTGGCCATGTATGTGAACAGACTGGACAGAACTGAATAGAAAAAAATTGCATCCTGCGTATCTATCTATTTGGGCACTGTTGCGTTATTTCCTGCGTAAGGCTCATGGATACAGTCGTGCTGTCAAAGAACACGGACCACCGCCGGTGACCTCAAGACGAGAGCTCATGCTGTGGCTTTGCACAGTGAGTACCTCAGAGCAGTTCCGGGCATCACACTTTGCGTCCCAATTCTCTTTAAAACTCTTTAAAGGTCTCAGCATGTCTCAGCATGTCTCAGCATGTCTCAGCACCTGTCACTCGGCTGTCTGAACTGAGGCAGAGAATCGATGCCTGAAAGCGGCAGGTGCTGAGATGGAAAGTGCAATGCATTTGGATTCAAAACGACCGACTTTTTGATTTGATACTGGGGCCTCCCAGTACCATTCCGCCAGCCGGCTAATGCATGGTGGGGTCATGGTCCTCGAGCCATAATCCAAACGTGAGAAGTTTTTTTTTGAGATGCGAATTGGTGTGAAAGCAAGTGCTGGTCGGCATAAAGACCATTTGGCTGTTGTAAAGCCAGCGCGACTATGAATTAATGAATCTGGTTGTTGCAAAAACTGGTTTGATCAACAGACAGGTGCACAGACGGGATGGTGTCAGAGCAGGTTTGATTCATGAATCAAAGCTAGGGCCGCTAGGGGGGTGCAAAAGCAAGTTTTGTGTGAAAGCTTTTTAGTGGTGCAGCTAGTTGGACGCCAGTGAGTGTAAAACTCAGACGGGAAAATGTTTAAAACACAGAAGCATGCAGTATTCTTGGGACTGGGCGCAGTGACCCGAAAAGAGATATGAGAAGATTCCGTAAGAGAGAGAGAGAGAGAGAAAGACGAAGAGAAGAGAATAAGAAGAGAAAGGCAAGCAAGCAGATGGATGGGAGTTTGCAGCCAAAGCACAAATCCACGCAGGAGGAGAATTTGAGAAACAACTGTAGTTAACAACCAGTATCACAATCAAGAACACCCATCAGACATGCTGACAGGCGGACGGATTCAGATTCTATTCAGTCTCGCTCAAGATCACTGTGAACCTTAAGTAGACTTGAAGGGAGACAAATCCGCATTTCGCGGTCCATGCCTCTTTGCACTTTTCGCTCTTCACATTGCTCCGCAAGTATGCAGGTCTAGCAACAAATCGTTGCCGCTACTTTGATCTGATGTCAAGGCTGGTTTGTGGGTCTAAATGTTTGTTGCAGTACTCAAAGCTGCTCTATCCAATTCCTCAAGGAAGGTTGCTTTCATTGCTTCCACTGCCACTCTGCAAAGCTTCTGTGTTCTTGGGTCAGGTGGCGATACGCTGATGGCTACCTCTAACAAAGCATAAACTTTCGTGACTGGCGAAGAAAAGTTTCTGGCAAGGGTCCAAACCGAGGATTCGCTGCATCTTCTTTCCTACCGCATTTGTGCTTGGGACATCTTGTGAGACCTTGTGATGTCTTGTTTTGGCAATTGGCACAGTTTTGCTGGAGCCCTTCAGTGTCATGAGAAGGCAAAGTACCAGTAGTCCGCACAAGGCAGTGGCGGAAGTTTCAAGGATCGGAAACCTACAGGAAAGTTGAGTTGTTGTGATGCATGAACGGCCAAGCGAACTCTCTCTCTCTCTCTTTCTACCTCTCTCTCTGTGTCTTTCTGTCTCTCTCCCTCTCTCTCTCTCTCTCGCTCGTTCTTTCCCTCTCTCTCTCTCTCTATCTACCTACCTACCTACCTATCTATCTATCTATCTATCCATCCTATTCTATCCTGATCTATTCTATCCTATCCTATCGTATTCTATTCTATTCTACTCTATCCTATTCTATTCTATTCTACTCTATTCTATTCTATTCTATTCTATGCAATCAATCTATCTATCAATCAATAAATCTATCTATCTATCTATCGATCGATCTATCTATCGATCTATCGATCTATCTTTCTATCTTTCTATCTTTCTATCTTTCTATCTTTCTATCTATCTATCTATCTATTGTATCTGTGCATTGTATCTGTGTATTGTATCTGTGTATCGTATCTATCTATTGTATCTATCTGTTGTATCTATGTATTGTATCTATCTATTGTATCTGTCCATTGTATCTGTCTGTTGTATCTGTCTGCTGTATCTTTCTGCTGTATCTGTCTGTTGTATCTGTCTGTTGTATCTGTCTGTTGTACCTGTCTGTTGTATCTTTCTGTTATTTCTGTCTGTTGTATCTATCTAATCTATCTATCTAGTGTATCTATCTATTGTATCTATCTATTGTATCTATTTATTGTATCTATGTATTGTATCTATCTATTGTATCTGTCTATTGTATCTGTCTATTGTTTTTGTCTGTTGTATCTGTCTATTGTATCTGTCTGGTGTATCTGTCTATTGTATCTGTGTATTGTATCTATCTATTGTATCTATCTATTGTATCTGTCCATTGTATCTGTCGGTTGTATCTGTCTGCTGTATCTGTCTATTGTATCTGTCTGTTGTATCTGTCTGTTGTATCTGTCTGTTGTGCCTGTCTGTTGTATCTTTCTGTTATTTCTGTCTCTTGTATCTGTCTGTTGTATCTGTCTGTTGTATCTATGTATTGTATCTATGTATTGTATCTATCTATTGTTCTATCTATTGTATCTATCTATTGTATCTGTCTATTGTATTTGTCTGTTGTATCTGTCTATTGTATCTGTCTGTTGTATCTGTCTATTGTATCTGTGCATTGTATCTGTGTATTGTATCTGTGTATTGTATCTATCTATTGTATCTATCTGTTGTATCTATGTATTGTATCTATCTATTGTATCTGTCCATTGTATCTGTCGGTTGTATCTGTCTGCTGTATCTGTCTATTGTATCTGTCTGTTGTATCTGTCTGTTGTATCTGTCTGTTGTGCCTGTCTGTTGTATCTTTCTGTTATTTCTGTCTCTTGTATCTGTCTGTTGTATCTGTCTGTTGTATCTATGTATTGTATCTATGTATTGTCTCTATCTATTGTATCTATCTATTGAACCTATCTATTGTATCTATTGTATCTATCTATTGTATGTATCTATTGTATCTATCTATTGTATCTATCTATTGTATCTATCTATTGTAACTATCTATTGTATCTATCTATTGTATCTATCTATTGTATCTGTCTATTGTATCTATCTATTGTATCTATCTATTGTATCTATCTATTGTATCTTTCTATCTATCTATCTATCTTTCTATCTATTGTATCTATCTATTGTATCCATCTATTGAACCTATCTATTGTATCTATCTAGTGCATCTATCTATTGTATCTATCTATTGTATCTATCTTTTGTATCTATCTACTGTATCTATCTATTGTATCAATCTATTGTATCTATCTATTGTATCTATCTATTGTATGTATCTATTGTATCTATCTATTGTATCTGTCTATTGTATCTATCTAATCTAGCTATCTATTGTATCTATCTATTGTATCGTATCTATCTATTGTATCTATCTATTGTTCTATGTATTGCATCTATCTATTGTATCTATCGATTGTATCTACCTATTGTATCTGTCTAGTGTATCTGTCTAGTGTATCTGTCTATTGAATCTATCTATTGTATCTAATCATTGTATGTAATCTATCTATTGTATCTAATCTATCTATTGCATCTATCTGTTGTATCTATCTATCTATCTATCTAGTGTATCTATCTATTGTATCTATCTATTGTATCTATCTATTGTATCT